ATATGTGTGTATGTATCTCTTAGTAGATTTTTCAGCCACACAAGCACAGGAAATTTGCAAAGAGACGGTGGGTCTGCTCAGCTAAGCAAGTATAAAAAGACCAAACTGGTTTTCTGAGAATGGTGTAGCTGCCCTCTATCGTTTCTCCATTATTCATATCTAGCTTACTCACAATAGGATATTGTTATGGGGAAACTTTATGTAAACAGCAGCCCTAGGTTGATCAAGATTTAATCAGACTCATTGGCACCTACTGACTGTGGATGGCATTTATGATACTATGCTGCCATCTAGAGTTGGAAAGAATGAGATACAAGTGTATTCTGCATTGTGCTGTATAATGTACTATTGCTGAGATTTGTTGTAGTCCTCCATAACTGGTAGTATTCTGCATTGCGCTGTATAATACATTATTGCTGGGATTTGTATTGCTGAGGAAGCCTGCTGCGCATTTTGCAAAGCGCCCGCTATGCTAATAGCGTATCTTCTCAGAAGCTGCACCCAGCGTGTGCAAGCTTCTGACAGCGTGGGAGGCTTGGCGGTGGATCAGGTGAGTATTTAAAAAAAACTTCTGTAGCGGCTCTGTGCTCTGTAAGTGGCGGCGGAGGGAGGATTCTTTTAGCGGGGGCCAGTGACGGGCCACCTGACGGCCGCAGGCAGGGGCCACTTTTAAAGGCAGAAGAGAGGCCCAGGGCGCAATTGCCACCCTGCCCCACAGCCAAGTCCACCCCTGGTGTGTTTTCATTTGCAGAAAAATGCGCACAATGAATGCAATGTAATATTTTACCTCTGAAAAATTAATATACAAATTTAAGCTCAGTTTTGTGACCTTTTGTGGCCATGTAAGGTGAATCCACAAGGACTTCAGGAACAACTCCGAATGATGGTGAAAATATATATTATTACTAGACCATGCTATAAACCATTTGATGGCAGAGATTATCACACTTAAAAAAATATAGATAGCAGTGCATTGGGAGCACATAACCACTGTCATGTCTTTTCTCAATGGAAAACAGAAACATGAACAACAAGGAGGAAAATCCCTGTGTAAATAAGGTTCCAACAGTTAGAAACACTGGTTATCACCCCAAAAGGAAATCCTGCTGCTGAATTGTGACAGAATTGGGCTGTTGATTGCTCTATATGTCTTTGGGTAACAGCAGACAAGCATTCTTGATTAACCGGACAACTGCCTAGGTTGAATCTTATCAATGTTCTGCAGATACTTTGTTCCCCAATCAGCATGCTTGGGGTGCATTTTGACCAATGCTTTTGGCTACACTGTGTTCTTCTGCAAGGCCAAGGATATGACTGTTTTGCCTGGCATGGGTGCCTTCTCACATAATTGGCTTCACAGAGTTACAAACTACGATTGTAGCTGCTTGCCTGCAGTGCAGTTCGGTTTTAATAGCATGAACATTGTTCAGCTGAGATATAAATGTCCATAAATGTGCTGTCTTGTTGATACCTGTGAGATGGTTTTTTAAGCTATTGGAAAAAGCAAATATTAGATGTTAACATCTCTGTAGCTCTTTATGAGGCATCACTTCTTCACTTGGGTCTGGAACTGCTTCTGTCATGGTTTAAGAGCAGTGCGTCATATCAATATATTTTTATGAGTTTTCATTCAAATTTAGGAAAGCTTGGACAAGTCCAGCTTAGATATACCAGACCAGCACTCCAAGCTTTAAATGGCGGTAGAAGGCCAGTGAATCTACAGGTCCTTTGTCTATTGCCAACTGTTGATGTGTGAAGACATAGTGGCCCCAAACATTTAGCATGCAATTCCTCAAAACAACCTTGTGCTAAAGTTGGCAGGCAATTTTTGCCATTAATGCCCTGAAAAGAATGTGCATGAATTTGTAGGTGAGGGGGTGAGTGGTTACGTTTGAAGGCTGGCCGGAGGCTAGCCTGGATTTGTGGGAGGAGCCTGTGCCTTTAACGGCTCACAGGGGATTCACGTCGGCGGTCACGAACGTCCCCACCCGCCCATTCCCCTTGCTTTCATTCATTTAATTTACAATCAGAGTATGCCCCCTTTTAGGCATACTGTCCTAAGAAGGCCAAGGCACTCCAC